GGGTAGTGGAGAGATCTGCCCACCCCCCTCTCCTCCTGTGGGCCCTGCAAGTCTTCTGGATCCCACCACACTCTCCTGGACCTCAGTAACCCCCTTGTGGACCCTGCCTGTCCCCCAGTCCCCCCCACGGATGCTGCTTGCCCCTGCAATCTCTCCGCTCCCTCCTGTGGGCCCTGGCTGCTGCCTCAAACCTCTCTGCAGACCCTGCCTCATAAGCAGTGAGGGAGAACATTATTTTTTTGGGGGGGCGGGTGGAGCTGAGCCCAGCTGACCTCCACCTCTCCCTCCTGCAGGGCCATTGTGAGGCCGGTGTGCCCTGGTACAGTATGTGGCGGTAGAGGAGTGGCTGCATGCCGAGCAGTGCCGTGTGCTATGGGATGGCGGTGTCATAGTGCTGCTGTGGTCACCAGCCACTGTGAAAAGTTTGGGGGGCTAAGCCCCATTAGTCCTGGCCTTCTGCTACTTATGCCCTGCCTTCCCCCTGATCCCTCCATAGACCCCCTGATATCCCCCCAAGCCTGCTTGCCCCCAATTACCCATTTTGCAAATTCCAGAGGATTTCTGTGGGAATAACTTGGATGGCCTGTTTTGAAGACTTTGTCATACTTTCCATAGTTACACAACCCTGAAAAAGACACTATGCATGCCCTTTTTGCCATCATCTTCTGGATATTCCAGTTCTGATTATACACCTTGTTCTCAGCTTCCCAGACAGGCGTGTACTTCACAATGATTTATGATTTGCTCATTTGTACCGGTCACCATTTTTCAGAATATTTCATAGATAAACTACTTTTCTAGGGGCATTCAAAGCAATGATGCTTCAAGCTAAAATTTCTGAGGCCTACCATAATTTAGCACTTGACATGTGGTTTAACCATGTGTTTCAGCGGTAAATAACTTCCAAGAGCTGTCTCTCCCTGTGGCAATTTTTTCCTGACCCAAAATAATACAGTCCTACCCTGCATTTCTTGTTCAGGCATAATTCCTGAGCTAAATAGAGAGCTTTGCCTGGGTTAGAACTTGACAGTGGCTTGACAGTCACTCTAAGTGTGAGGTAATGGACCATAATCATAATTCAGTCTTCTTGAAAAAATGGTCAGCATCTAGGTATCTTGGGTATTGGTTCATGCTGGACAGTTACCCAAAAGCCATGAAACGTTAGGCATTAGCACTGTAGTATCAGATGTTTTCCATGGGAATACTGCCAGAGACAAGCAACTTTTGAGATGACAGTATTTACTTGCTGTTATGTAACACAGGAAAAATGTTATAAAAATGGGGAGCATCCACAGCAAAATGGTTCAGTCTGAGAGCTGAGGACTACAGGGCCTGTTTAATGCTAAACTGTGCTCTACCAGCACAAATTCACCTGCTGCAATAAGACGGTCAGAATCCTTCTAATTAAATCTGGTTCCATTGGAAACCCTCAGGATGAAACATTCTAAAGTTAAGAACTCAAAATATTTTTCCCCACCAATAATTACCATCATGACCAGGATAGTCTTCAGGGTAACTTTATGCAAACAACACTATCTTAATGGCACTGACCTGACCCAGAGCTCCTCTGTTGAATTACAGATCAATTCTTTTGCACTGTTTGCATTAGACAGCTAACAGAGCTCAAAGTGAGACAGCTGGGTTCCTTTCTGACAACATCACCATTAAGTACCACAATTTTTACCAGTGGTGTTGATACATGAACCAGAAATGCACAGCTTGCAGGCCTTGGCTAGGTGTAGACATTCAAAAAGCCGGAGGTAGAATCAATCTTAGTTATGTGGTTTTCTCTAAGCGACATAGTTTAGATCAGAGTTTGGAATTTAAGCATCTCTGAAGGGTTTTGCTGGATGGAACTTTATGGAATCAACCTGCCTTGTTTTAGCAGTTTTCAGATGAAAAACAACCCACAAGTGCACCTTCTAGCTAGGTACAGACGTTCAAAAAACCCGAGGTGGACTGGATCTAAGGTGGTTTTCTGTAAGTGGTGTAGTTTAGATCCACAGCGAACAGAACATACATTCGCCCTTTGATGAGAGGGGCAAATCTTAAACTAGGTTCCTCCATTTTTAAACCAGTCTGCATGTGCTGAATTTCTGTTCTGTTGTGGATATAGACTGGTGTTATGTGCCGAACTTCTGTTCCGTTATGCGTATAGACTGGTTTCTGATCACTTATACTGATAAAAATGTAATGTTCATAGCTGGCCTCGGTGTTCAAGAGTAATATGGCACTTCACATGCATTTTACAGGGTTACTTTCCTGCTTTTAACTGTATCTTGCATTAAGCTGAGCTTTGTTGCATCGTGGCCAGACACAACAGAAGATGAATTTGTTCAGCCCCAATCTTGTGCTATACCATGCCTGAAATCAGAGGGGCTCCAGATAGCCCCTGTTTTCCTTGAGCCATGACCCCACTTCCAAGGTTGTAACCCAGTTTTCATTCCAAGCCTATCTATAGTCATTGAATTTTTGCTGCTCTAAGCTTCTGGGTGCTCTTCCAAAAGAGCCATGGTAAAGGACAAAGCCTGAAAGAGAGGCTGTTGATGACGTCAGTGAAGCTAGTCATGTGTACAAAGCTATGTGCATAAGCACAAAATTGTTTGTTCTGATGTTTGTCATGTGCCGTCCGTTGCACAGAGCTCTGCAGAACTGTGGGTTCGAAATAGCTGAAAGGGGAGAAATTGAGGTAAAAGGCAAAGGAAAAATGAACACCTATTTTCTAAGGAGGAACCTGAATGCAACTGAGGATGAAATCATGGGAAGAGCAGAAGAGCAGCACTTCCAGCCCACGGATCTGAATGGTAAGTGAAGAGAGACTTTTTGGTTTCAGCATGGGATACAAAATGGAATTTCTCTTAATTGATCTAAATCTGGCATATATTTTATAGTAATTCCTACTCTTTCTCTTGTGCTTTCTCTTATATTAAATGTGCATCTGATACTTGACTTTGATTTAAAATCTATATGCTCAAATGAATGTATAACACAGTAGCTCAAGCAGTTACTTTCACCCCATTGGGCCTGAATTTTAAAGGTGCTAGTCCCTATAGTTCCACTGACTTCAGTGATATTTATGAGTTATTTAGTATATATGATAATGAGGCCTATCTCTGAAAGAAATTGCATGTTCTAGGGATTAATTTTAACTCAACAATATATACAGTGATAAAAACAATGAGTTTGAATTAAATGTGACTGATGTTTGAATTTTTGCGCTTTGACAACTGTGCTATAGCCAGCTCAGTTCAGCTAAAACAAATAATCCAACTTTTCTTCAGGAAGCCTGACAGAAATAAGGGATGAAAGTATTGGAAGGATAGTTTTGAGACCAGAAGAGGAATGGGAAATGGAGGAAAGACAGAGTGGGGGACAGGGAATGCAGAGTTGGCAGCTATAACAGGGGGAAGGGAAATCAAACAGTTGATCAGCAAGGGCTCATTAATGTTCAGAAGCATGTTTGACTTGGTGATTTCAAGTTGCTGGCCTTCCCGTGCCTGTTATCACCAAAATGGCACCAAGATTCTTGAGAAGAGTGCCTCCTACTGAACAAACCCTTCAGTTAGAGACATGGGGAATGGGGGTAGTTTTCCCTTTCTTGCACTGCTATGTTTGTTTGAGCAGAAGAGCAGTTCTCCGAGGGGCCATGCACTGGTCCTCATCTGCAATCCTGTGCCCTGGCTTCTGAGAGAGGGAGCCAACACAATCCATGATTATCAGTCAGGCACTCAGTGGAGTGGAGCTAGCTGAAAAATGAACTCTTTTTTTTTTCCCCATTTTTCTTTGAAATGCTTATCAACTGAATGCTTGTTTCTATGCTGTGGGTAACATAGAAAAACAAAATGCAATGAACATACCAGGACAACAGGCACCTACTTTAGTCCAGATGTAAAACCCCTTTCACTTTCATTTACTTCATATATCATGTGATGCAGAATTAGGTCACTGCCTTATTTAAACAGGGAAATGTCACCAAACTGGGATTGCTAGGGACCAAAAGTGTATCAATGCAATTCCCACTTCACATTGTAGTAGGTTACTATGGCTTCTGGCCAGGTCTAAGAGTTTTGAATTTCAGGGATGTAAAAACAGCCATAGATTTCTAAATTCCTCCATGGCATGTGAGACGATCATTAACCTTTAGTCAGCATGTGGCAAACAAAAGATATACTATATGCCATCAAGGTCAAAGGTCTGGAAATGGAGAGCAGTTAAGCTAATTACCCACTTGTCCACCTAATTTGCACGTGCCATTGTGGTAATTGCATACACAAATACTGCTGGACAATTTGCACAAGGTTTTGGGGGAGGGGGTTTAATGTTTTTTTTGAGAGGGAGAAACTTTAAACCTGTGGCCTGTAAAGACTTCCCTCTCCTCTTCACACTTTTCAGACCCCACTTTCAGTTCTTTTCCCTATAAACGTCTCTTTCTGAAGGCATGCATTATTACTGCACTTTCTCCCTCCTCCCACTTCTTGAAGATGCACTTGCTCTGGGAAACCAAGGCAGCAGGAGTGATGCTGTTATGAAGTACGCTGACAGTGAGCAGCTGCAAACCGCAAGCAGCAATGCAGATGGCGAGTACATCAAGGGTTTGTTTTAAAATATTCCTCATGCTTTATTTTACACAAGGGGCATGGAATTGAGGATGATCCAAATTAGCTCAGCAAATTTCAGGTCATAGTTCGTGTGGTCACCATGGTGATAAATGCCTCAGGGCCAGATATTTTGAAGGTATTTATATGCCTAACTTCAATTGATTTTACTGGGAGTTAGGCACCTAAGTACTTTTAAAAATATGGCCCTTAGGGTTTGGTATGCCTCAGCATTGCAAAGCACTGAGGCAACTTACCACCTCCCCCCGCGCGCACACGTGCACACACACACACACACACACACACACACACACACACACACACACACACACACACACACACAC